TTCACAACACCACATTAGCAAAGAGTCATCTGTATTACTCTTTATATGGACGTATTTATGAATGTGCTAAAAAAAAACATTTCAAAATTTATTATTATGCATTCACATGATATTGCACTCAAATATACAAAGTATAAAATTTATTTTTGTCTGAAATTTTATATTTTTTTATCTATTTCAATGAGTATGTGCACTCATAAATAAAGAATAGTACAATTTATCTATCATTTAGGTAGCAAATCAGACAAACATTCTTAAAGCTGAATGGAATGTTAAATCAGATTCCTTATTAAAAAAAACTCATATTTATAGTTATTTAAGCTAAAATAGTATATAGAATTGTACAAAGAATAAATTACTAAACATTTATCAATATAAGACTATTTAAATTCTTTTAGTGACATCTCTCAATTAAGAATATTATGCACATTATCTTGACCTAGTACAACGCCATAAACTATAATATTTTAACAAGTTAGAAAACAATAAAAACGACATAAAAATATAAATATTTACATATTTAAAGAGCATAAAAGATATTTTAATGGTACGACAGTATGACTAGATTTATTTCAGAATTATGTCTCGTTAAATGTCAGTTTTTTAGTACAAATGTGTCACTTTAAGTGACACAATCATAGTAATATTATTGTCCATTGCCCAATAATTGCTACTGTATCACTTTTGATCCATATAATCGTCGGGTCCGAATGGTGTTTTTCCGGCGATGCTCTGTAACATTCCTGAAGACGCATTGGTAATTTCAGCTGATATTTTCAAGAGGTGAAAAGCAGCTATAGATTAATAGTCAATAAGTCTTAAAGATGTGCTTCCATCGGCATAACTACACCGCAACCGGCATTGGATATATGTAGGTCTAACAGGAATTGAGGGAAGTACGAAGAGTATTTCTGATCATTCTGATCACGTTCAATAGTGATTCCTAGTAGGGATAAGTGGATTGGATTCGAAGTACTGTTTGAGAGGTATGCAGTCTTTACTGATGGATCCAAGGTGGAATCTGGCACAGGGGTCGGAGTTTATTTGGTAGATGGTAACATAAAAGTGTCTTATAGACTTTCGGACAAATGTAGTGTCTTTTAGGAGGATATCCTGGTAATCTGGGGATCCGTGGACATTATTAAGACCCATATTACTAGGGGGTCGGAAGTAATGATTTATGTTGTACCGGGACACTGTGATATAGAGGGTAATGAGATCGCAGATGAATTGGCCGGACAGGGCACGGATCTGTAGCTCGATATTCGTTATTACTATAGACTAATCTCCGAAAAATTCAAAAGCTCCACCAATCGATCCTGGCACATTAGGCTGGATTGTAGGGTTTCTAGAACATTACGGATTGGACAGGAAGAGAATAAGGAGTTTATTAGGAGTAATAATCGAACACTGCGCAATTGGAGCCTTTAGGTGTAATAGGGTCGGTAACACACAGGATTTTTACAGGTTGTGTGAGGGCAAAGAGGAACTGTAAACAGTAGGACATTTCTTATGCAACTGTCCCTGAATAGAGAGTCTGAGACTGAAATGGTTAGTCAAACGATTCCACGATGAACTGGTAGATGTTGCAGGGTGAATCTTAGGCGACATTCTGGGCTTCATCAAGGGGATATCTTGGTTATTGAGATAACGGACAATTATGGATTTTCTTTCTTTAATATTTTTGAGGGGAATTCACACTCTTCTCATCTTTTTCTTATTCTTCTGTCTTCTACTTATTTTTCCTTGTTCTTTATTAAAGCGAATCACAATGGGCCTTTGAGTCTCCGAGTGGATGTATACCTTGAAAACTAAGGTATATGGGTAAATTCGGTAACCTCATATCTCCTAAACTAGAAGATACACAAACAGTTTAAAGCTTATTGTCGTTCATTTAAAAAATAAGCGGATAGGTGAACGGTACTTTTTTCAAATTCGGCGCCTTTACTGGTACTTTTTTGCATCCCATGTATCTTTTATACCAATGAACATACAAAAAATATTTTTGACTCCTTCATAACCTAACGAAAAAATAAAAAAATACGAATTTAGTACTTTTTAGATATTTGGGCGTGTAAGGGATGAAAATTGTACCTATTTTTGGTACTTTTTGCATAAAACATTGTTTCCTATGTATTGATTTGTATTAACATGTGAATGGATACTTAATGATGGGCTCCCACTACGATATTGCCACTTTCTGTAATAAAATGCTTATTACTTTAATAGAGAGAAAAAACGGGAAATTTTATTTTATTGAAAGCCACTGTTTCAATTTTAATAAAATTGGAGAAATTAATAGATTTAGTAACACTAAATATACCAATGGGGTGTTACTTGGAACTCCGGTACAAAGGACTATTTTTTGGTACTTTTTCGTTTTTTAACTGGTACTTTTGTGTTTTTTATAATGTGATAATATAATATGATCCTAGAAACATGATAATAAGCAGTTAAGGAGTTTTTGGTACTTTTTTGTTCCTTAAAATGTACTTTTTGAATTTTCTATTATATTGAACCTAGAAACATGAAATTAAGAATGTAGCATAAAAACATGAAATTAAGAATGTAGACACCGGAGTGAAGGAGAACCTATAAAAGGGGACATTGTGGTACTTTTTCGATCTTCAAATGGTATTTTTTGTGTTTTCTATAATATTGAACCTAGAAACATGAAATTAAACATGTAGAGCACGGAGTAAATGAGAAACTATAAAATGGGGCTTTTTGGTACTTTTTCGTTCTTCAAAAGGTACTTTTTGTGTTTTTTATAATATTGAACATAAAAACATGAAATTAAGCATGTAGGGACTGGAGTAAATGAGAACCTATAAAAGGGGACTTTGTCACTTTTTCGTTCTTTAACTGGTGCTTTTTGAGTTTTCTATAATATTGAACATAGAAACATGAAGTTAAGGATGTAGAGCCCAGAGTATAGGAGAACCTATAAAAGGGGACTTTTTGGTACTTTTTCGATCTTCAAAAGGTACTTTTTCAATTTTCTATAATATTGAATCTAGAAACATGAAATTTAGCATGTAAAGACCGGAGTAAATGAGAACACATGAATGGGGTCTTTTTAGTACTTTTTCGTTCTTTAACTGGTACTTTTTGTGTTTTCTACAATATTGAACCTAGAAACATGAAATTAAGCATGTAGAGCCCGAAATAAATGAGAACCTATAAAAGGGGAATTTTTGGTACTTTTTCGTTCTTCAATAGGTACTTTTTGAATTTTCTATAATATTGAACCTAGAGACATACAATTAGGCATTTAGTTCTCGGAGTAAATAAGAATCTATAAAAGAGAACCCTTTGGTACTTTTTCGTTCGTCGACTGGTACTAAAATCTAAAAAGGGACTTTCTGTTATATTTTCGTTCTCCAAATGATATTTTTTGAGTTTTCTGTAATATGAAATCTATGAAATATTGAACCTAGGAACCTGTATGAAAATCTATAAAAGGGGACTTTTTGATATTGCATTTATTTCCTTACGATGAAGGTAGCGAAGCACACTGGATATAGCTAGTATATAATAAAATCCTGATCAAATTTGACATTTGTATGTTTTGTGTATATATAAATCATTATTCGAAGATTTATCGGATCGGCCCATAATTGGTCATAGCTCCCATTAAATTCCATATATGTAGAAATAAATTATTAAATGATTGTACCCTCATTACGGAAGCCAAATTTAAACTTTTACAATTTATGAAATATCTACAAATATTTGAATGAATTTTTATAAAAAGTAGCCGACAGATGGAAGATATTCAAGTCTAGAATAGGGCGATAGGTTCTAGGGTTTTGACTTTTTTTTTCCAAATTTGACGGCCTGTGTAATTTTTAGTAATTTTCTCTAAAAAAATTAAAAGCATTTCAATTAGTTGTTGGTAATTCATATAGTTTTTTTATTTTTTTTAAATTAACGATTAAGTAACAATAACTTAAAAATAGTACATTTTTAGAAAATTGAATTAGAGAAAAAAAAATAATAAAATTAGAAACAAAACGTAAAATATAGTTATTTATATTTTTTATATATTATTGTATAATGATTAAATAGTTTAACATAAGGTACTTATATTCCATTCAAATGATCCCTATTATCATATTGCAGAGATTTTTTTAAATAACAAAAAAATAAAAATTAAAAAAAAACAAAAAAAAAATTAAATAAAAACTTAATTGACTACAAAAAAGGCACCTGAGTTGTAAATAAATATATAAATGTTTATAGTAAATATTTATGTAAATATGTTAAATATACTTGTATATTTAGATTGTATATTAGTAAGTAATATAATATTTATTTAAAAAAAAGTTTTATAACAAAAATATATATTTCGATATTTTTCAAGACACATACTAGTAAACCGACAAAGTACATGGAACGATATATATACGAATTATATACGAAAAGGTTTCTTAATTTTGAAAACTTTTAAAGTTGCCTAGTGTTCCACACTAGTTTATTTCCAATAAGATCATATAAGAACCAAGATATTCCAAAACGGTTTCGATTCTGTTTATAAATCGAAATTTTTGAATTTTTTTAACAAACAAAAAAATTTTACTTTTTTTTTTAAAAAATTACTTTCAAATTAAACCATGTTTCGCTGGGTTATAAGTTCTTTGTATGTGTTTGATTGTAAAAATATCTTAAATTTAAAATTTCTTTATTGAAATTTGTTTTATTTTATTTATCCCTGATTAAATTTGAAACACAAATTGACTAGTGTTCAAGGTAACATTTGTTTAAGCAAGGTATTTTTATAAAATTTTTACTTGTATTTTTTTCTTTAAATTACTTTTATTATTTTTATGTTTTTTTTTTTTAATATTTTTTTTAGATTTAAGTGGGTTGGTTTTTGTCTTTGTTTTGTTTGTATTTTAATATATTTTTCTATATAGTTTTTTATTTATTTATTTTACTTTTTTCATTCCATTTGATTAAATTTATTTAATTTATTTCTTTTTTTTTTATTCATATTGTTTTGTTGTTTTATTTTTATACAGTATCACATTTTATAGAGTTCTGGTGGTTCTTTGCATGAGGATATGCCCTGATCATATTTACCCATTTCGGCTTCGTACAGAAGATTATTGATTAAATGTTTAACAACAATTTTTGCTTTGGACGTTTTAAGTTTACGTATTGTTATGGCCACATATTCACCGAACACTCCATACTCATCGATGGGATTGTTGCTGCAGTTGTTTGTCTTGCCATTGTTGCTGGTCGTTGGGTTGTTGTTGCCGTTGTTGCTATTACTGTTGAGCAGTGTAGTTTGCAGGTGGGAGAAAGAGGTGGAGTAACCAGCTCCATCATCTTCATCGTCGTCGCCGTCATCATCATCAGGAGCAGCAGCGTTATCGTCAGGACTTTGATTGTTGTTGCTATTTAAATAATCACATTGTCTGGAGTGTATGGCATTGGAATGTTGCTGTTGTTTTTGATTTAATTTAGAAGGTGATGGTGCATCCTCATTGTGATTTACGTTTGAATGCATTTGTGCCTTACGTTTGCGACTACCGACTGTGCCAGTGCCTCCTGGATTGTTGCCGCTATTGTTGGCGTTGGTGTTGCTTCTGTTCATTGTCAAGTCAGTGGCATTTTTATGATAATTCAGTGGTACTGGGGTGGAAGTGCGTGTGCTCTCAAGCATTGCTAAATCAGTCGAATCACTTTCAAACTGTTGAATAAAGTGGATAAAAAATACTTAAATAAAAAACTAAATATGTAATGTAGTTAAAAAAATGATGGAGAAAATAAAACCTAAATGTTGGAGAATAATTGAGTGGCTAGATACATCAATAACATTCCTAGATGCATTAATACAAAAAATGCTAATAGGACTAGCAAGTAAGAAGGTACACAGAGGGGAAAATATGTATACGCCTGGTAAAAAATTGACACCAAATTTTTCACTAACATCCGTTGTCAAGTATATACATACGAACGACAACACTACGTAATGTTGACAATGTTCCAACAATTCCTTGTCGAAATATAAATTTTATACACAGCCGTTGTGAAAAAGTGAAACGTGGTAAGCTCAATATTGACAACGGATTGTGAGCTTACAACGTTTGATAAGTTTTAGACAACGTTATTGAAAAATTTAGTGTTAATTGTTTCCTCTATACTATATATAGTTTCCCTCTGTGTCGGACATGACCGATCATATGATACCTTATACTGTAGAGCCATTAGACTATACAATTAATATGGAAGTTGTTTAACCGATTGTTTGACAACTTATTATTTGGGGTTTTAACTTCTCCATCCTCTAATCGGATTATTGAAAATCGAGCGAAATTTGATATCATAACTAACTAACTAACTAACTAACTAACTAACTAACTAACTAACTAACTAACTAACTAACTAACTAACTAACTAACTAACTAACTAACTAACTAACTAACTAACTAACTAACTAACTAACTAACTAACTAACTAACTAACTAACTAACTAACTAACTAACTAACTAACTAACTAACTAACTACTAACTAACTAACTAACTAACTAACTAACTAACTAACTAACTAACTAACTAACTAACTAACTAACTAACTAACTAACTAACTACTAACTAACTAACTAACTAACTAACTAACTAACTAACTAACTAACTACTAACTAACTAACTAACTAACTAACTAACTAACTAACTAACTAACTAACTAACTAACTAACTAACTAACTAACTAACTAACTAACTAACTAACTAACTAACTAACTAACTAACTAACTAACTAACTAACTAACTAACTAACTAACTAACTACTAACTAACTAACTAACTAACTAACTAACTAACTAACTAACTAACTAACTAACTAACTAACTACTAACTAACTAACTAACTAACTAACTAACTAACTAACTAACTAACTAACTAACTAACTAACTAACTAACTAACTAACTAACTAACTAACTAACTAACTAACTAACTAACTAACTAACTAACTAACTACTAACTAACTAACTAACTAACTACTAACTAACTACTAACTACTAACTAACTAACTAACTAACTAACTAACTAACTAACTAACTAACTAACTAACTACTAACTAACTAACTAACTAACTAACTAACTAACTAACTAACTAACTAACTACTACTAACTAACTAACTAACTACTAACTAACTAACTAACTAACTTACTTACTAACTAACTAACTAACTGAGTAACTATTGGTTATGGTCGACCATGTAGTATCATTCACTTGGCTCAAATATATGGGCAATTTCGTTTCAAGTTATCCAACTCATAAAATCGATTACTAAGTGGAATGCAAGAGGCAGATTCATATTTACATATGCTCCCTGCATTCTACTAAGTGACCACAAAGTTCAAGGATAAGAGCATAATTAAGACCTCCAAAACGAACTTCGGGGGAAGCGTGCTACCATTTTGAATAGAATTCGTCCTTTCCACAAATTTCCAAATCATCTTCAACATTGCGACCTCTAGAAGTTTTATATTGGCAAGCAGGACACACGGACGGGCATGGCTATTCGATTATACTGTTCTTGTATACAATAAGTGGCTATTTGTGCGGATATCTCGAAAATATAATTAATTTCTTAGATATAATGTATACCTATCAAACAAGGTTAGCTACCATTTCGAACTGGTATCGTTATTTAAATTTATTTCGGTAACGGTATTTTGACTTATTTCGGTAACTTTATTTTAGTGATATCGGTATTTAGACTTATCTCTGAAAAGTTATTTTGCGGTAACCATAGTTTATCGATAATGATTGCCAACCTCGGTAATGATATGCAAATCCCAATATCGAGCGTAGCATCCCCAATATATTCAAAGTTTTAGAAAAATAATTTTTTTAGAACGATTCTTAGCATCGTTGTTTATAGACCGATTTCAGAAAAATATTGTGAGGAAAAATTTTAAAATATCCTTACGAATTAGCGAAATAAGCTGTATTTTTGGTCATATGATGACTTTATCCATATTAAAATAAATTTCAACCTTTGCAATTATCTTATCTAAACTATCGAACATTTTACTGTTATAAAACAATTGTACAAGTGCAATGTAATGTTAAGAAACTTGAATGTGGCAATAGTTTGCGGTTGTGAAAATCGATCTTGTACTCTTGTACTGATTTAAAGTTTATGTTTAAGTATTAGATTTGTACTTGCTGTAATTGCCGTTAAAACAGTTGCAAACAACTAACATAAACACCTCTCTTTTACATAGGTTAGAAATAGTTGTAGTTAAAAGAAACTTACAATTTCAGTTTTAACATCTTCTGCACTAATGTTACAGTATTCACTGCCATCGAAATCAGAGTTACGTGCCTGCAAAGAAACAAAAAAAAAAAAAAAAAATAGAAAGACAACCACGTTATAGAAGTGAAGAAAAAGTGAAATGCATTTTGTTGTTAAATTTTTAAATGGCTTGTGGCAATATCAATGTTACTACAGTCGTGTAATAAAGAAGAAGACTCAAATGACTTTTTAAACACTAACTTTGTTACACATGCAAACCTATTACAAATACAGACAATAGAAAGAAGTTGTTGGTAGTACAACTTAATATTGGGTTAATGAAAAAACAGCTTAAAGAAATCAAACTTGTGTAACGAACGGTACAAAATACTGTTGAATGCAATGCCTATAAACATGTTTGTAGTTGTTGCATTTTACCCGTATACATATTAACATTACAACAACGTTAATACATACATATACAGCTTATAACAAAGACAAAAGTTGAGAAATTATTGCAAACGTAGTTTACTTACACACTGTTGCACAGTGGGGAAAATACCTAGAAAAGTTAAGCAGGAATATTTTGGGCCACCTGGCGGGTTATATTATACCAACAACGAGCTTTGACAGGACCGATTATTACAAATAGTGACCTTCGGTAATATGCAATCTCAGTGTTCACTCACTGGGGTCAGGCCATGGATTAGCCAGAAGTATAATCCGAGAATTAAATCTTAAAACGTCGACTATCTTGTCTTGTATCTATAAAGGATAGGGTCGAAATTTCTTTTCAACTGTATTTATTCCTTGTGCCAACTCAAATGACATTTTGTCGAGTTGATATGGGTTCTAGGGCATGAAGTAAAATTTAATTTCCAACTAAAGTGCAATTTCCTTAGAACCAAAGGAAATTTTCCGTGGTAATGACATCCAACGTGAGTGAGGAATGAGAGTCAAAAGAAGCGAGCCAAACATCCAAATATTCTGAACCTTTTTGTCAGAGAAGGATCTTGGCACTTTTGGGACTTCCTTAAGATTTATGTATTCTCAATTCCGAATGCATTTAGACAAAAAAGAAAAAAGTCTTTGATATCTTGGTATATATTGGACCTAATCTTCATTTGTCACTATTATAGGTTGATCTCCGGAAGTTCCGTGACATTATCAATCAGGAGTAGTAAAATGAATTCCTCGTATCTAAGGTCTTATGGCCAAGACTTAATGCTAAAGAAATCGGGATACTTATTGGACTCGATAGATGTAGTTTTCAGAATCGGTTAGGTATTACGACGGAACGTTGTGCTGTTGATTTCGGAAGGTTATACGAGGATGCTGAAGAACTAGAGACCGTTGAGCACATCATCTACCGCTGTCGTAGAATACAAGGTCTCAGGCTGATATATGGCTAGGATATGGGTTCCACCACGAACTGGAGTGTAGGGTGCAACTCTTGTTGTATTCTAGTTTTAATAAGGAACATTAGCCGTTTCTTCGTTTGGATACTATAGTAAGGATTCTTATCACCCATTATAACGTTCTTCTTTTAGGATCTGAATTCATTTACCTTTAGGACTACATTTACTTCAAGTTGATTTCCTTGAGCCACGGACTAGTTCAAGATCTTTCTCTTTTTCTGTACTTTCCGTTATTTTCTTAATAATCCTCCATTCTTGATTCTTCACTTTCTCTGAAGGGAATTATAATGAAGTTCAGTGGAGTTACACATTTTTGGAGATAACCCTTCAAATCTGATGCAAGTATCAGTCGGTTCCCTGGGCATTCTTAAAATCGTTCACATAAAGGGAAAACAAATCCTCTGGGTGGGTCTGTGGGTGCGAATAGTCCTCTAAACCGATATGAAATTTCATCTCAATTTGGATGGTAGTAATATTTTAATTCTGTCCACTGTGCACGGTTGTAATGAAATTTAACAACAAAGTTGTTGAAAATAAATTGGAGGTAGGGAAGAATGAAGAAAACAAAACGGCTGATGCAACAAATTCAACAAACAAACACTCACACAAATGTGGTGCATGCATACATGTATAAACACAGATACTCGTCGTACTCGTACACACAAAGCTCAATTGCAGCAGGGGCTTGTTGGTTGGCTTTCATTTTAATTCGTTTCATTTCATTTGAGGCCAGAGTAATGCGACACATTTACGATTTTGTAAAGCTTATCAGTTGTGGAGCAGAGCAGCAGCATGTTTGTTGGTTGCTTATTTTACTTTGTGGTGAAAACCACAAAAAAATGTTTTTAAATATAAATAACAGCAACAACAACAACAATAATATGACAAACGAATAAGTAACACTCCAACACAGTCCCCATAGTTGGGGTATGTGCATGTGTTTGACTGTATGTGGATATAACGACACTACATAGTAGAGTGCCTCATTTAGTACAACAACAAAAAGTGAGTAGTACTAGGTATATGCGGACTGGACTGTTTCACGTGTGTGTTGATATGAAATTAACAAAAAAAATCACACAAAAAAAAAAAAACAAAATAAATAATAAAAAATGTGTGGAAAAAATACGACGCATTAGCTGAACAGTGAACGACAACTGAGTTAGTTGGCAGAGGTACAGTGGAGCTTTAAGTTTAAAACCAGAGATCAAATTTTAGTAAAGGACGTAATTCTGGAAACTCTATTTAAATTTTACTAAACACTACTTTATTGACTCAGAATCACTTTCACTTTCTTATAATGAACAGATTTAACTCAGTTCCAATTGGCTTTTGCTAAAAGTAACAGTCATCGTTTATTCTTAAAATAGCGCCAGAACTTTTTGAACAGAAATACAAAATTCAAAACCCAGAAACGAAATTATACTTTTCAAAAGCTGGATATCTCGAAGAAGACAGAAAATATAAAAGCGTTTAAAACTTCCTTTCAGAGTCGTCAGATTGGTCTTTCAGATGACATAACAAATTTTTAAACTAAAGGTGTCTTCGCGATGTTATAAGGACTCAAATATGTCCAAAAACATTTTTTTCCAAAAATTATGACACGATATTTTGAAAACCTGATGTAATGGATAAGGCCAGATTCAACACTGCTATATCCTTTAGAAAAGTATTCTTTGGTTTCTGGGTTAAAAATTGTTTGGCAAATGTTATCGGAGTGACCACCAAATATCGCAGAATTAAGCAAAAGTTTGTTATATGTATATACATATATAACAAATACCGCCAATTCCGGATTTTGGACATTGAGGGAATTTGCTCTATGGAGCATTCCAAACCTGCCCAACACCTGTCAATTATTAAAACATCAACAATTCACATGCATGTGTCCAGCATTATCTATCAGACTCATTTCCTCGTGTATAAATAGTAATTTTTGCCGAATGCTCTTTGATCATGAATGTCGGACCTAAAAATTTCTGAGAGAAACATAACTAATTATGATACAAGTAGATCGTAATAGAATGCTAGAATTCAGTGACCACTATCGTTGCATAGACTGGAGAATTCTCAATGTACATCCTCAAACTCCGAAGTCGGGAAAAACCCGTTATATATGGATCTCCTTGATATTCTACACATTTCTGCAGAGATTCGTGAAGTATATTACGGCGGAATATTGTTCATGATATTCATATAAATGCTACAATAATTACTTTGCAAATTCTGGGAAGATTGGTAAATTGTAGCATCTAGAAATTATCTGAATCCTTATTCCGAAATCCAATTTAAGATTAAACAAGTAAGAGTGTTATATTCGGCTATGCCGAATCTTATATACCCACCATCAAACTTCGTCTGACTCGAACGAAACTTACTTATGTCGAATTTCATATATATACTCGTATATTTAGGCCAGTTATAAGCGTTAAAGTAATTTTCTGAAGGGGATCTTATATAGGGGGGTAGGGTCAATTATGGGTCGATCCTCATAAAATTTGGTAGACAGAATTTGGTTCGTATTAAATTTACTTGTGTCGAATTTCATCGCTACACTCGTATTTTTAAACCATTAAAGAGCGTTGCAGTTATTTTCTGAACGAGACCCTATATGGGGGGTAGGGTCAATCGTGGACCGATCCTCATAACATTTTTTAGATACATTTTGACTCGTATGAAACTTACTTATGTCAAATTTCATCTATATACTAGTATTTTTAAGCCAGTAATGAGCGTTAAAGTCATTTTCTGAAGGGGACCTTATATGGGGGGTAGGGACAATTATGGACCGATCCTCATAAAATGATTTTGGATCATAAGAAACTTACTTGTGTCGAATTTCATCGCTATATTCGTATTTTTAAACAAGTTATGGCTGTTAAAGCTGCTTTTCGAGGGGCCACTTGTATGGGGGCTATCCGAAAACGTGTACCGATATTCCCCATTTCCAATACCAAATAAACCTTACCTATAAGAAATATTTATGTGAAATTTCAACCCTCTAGCTCTTTCCATTCGGACTCTATCGTGCTTTCAACAGACAGACAGACGGACGGACAGACATGGCTAGATCGTCTTAGAATTTAATGAAGACCCAGAATATATATACTTTTGTGGGTCTATGATCAATATTTCGATGTGTTACAAACGGAATGACAAAATCAATATACCCCCCATATTTTTTGATGGTAGGTATAAAAATCACTTTCCCGGCATACAAGCATGTTCGACTATACTTTTATAATGGTGGTTGTATCAGATTTAGTTAGAGACATTTGAGTTCTTGTTTCGCATTACCCAATAAATTAACACATCATATCACACAGTCATCAAACGATTGACAGTTTTCGCACTGAGCTTATAAATAATAGAAGCTTTCTTGCTGATGTTATTTCGCCGTTTCTGAACTGCGATTTGACCATTAAGGCTTTTTTGTGAAGTGCCGATATTTTGTGAATAATCCAGAAACGATTCACACCCGAATATTGTCTGACCACTTCGTGAGATAGAATCAGAAACTAACAACAAAGTTCAAAGCTTTTGATACGAAATAAACATTCGCTATGAAGCTATATTTTATAAATCTATGATATTCAATCTCTAATTGTGTACCTTTTACTGGTTCGGCCCACTGTTTAGTAATATTAATATGTGTGTGCAACTGTCAAAGTGTCTTCAAATTATTCAGTCGCTGAAATAACACTACACAACAACGAACCAGAAATGAAAACGCAAAACATACCGAACGAGAGAAACTAGACAAACAACTTTTTTTGTGTGTTCAACGATTTTGAGTTGCAAATGAGTAAATAGTGTGCAACAATAACAACAATATGGGCAACTACAATTAGTACACTGAAAATAAAAATCGGTTACCTATAATGTGACGTATGAATAATTTGTTTACTTTTTTTTTTTGAATCTTATCAATAAAAGTGTGGGAAGCTTTAAGATTAGTTTTTAGAAATATAATGAAAACATAAGAGAGAGTCTCCGGTTCTAATAGATGAGAATACTTGGGCGCACAATATCAAATTAATGTTTCTTTTATTTAGTCATGCGGTATAACAAACTTAACCATTTTGGGTATTATGAATTGCAGAACAATTGCGATATTTTGTATTTGTGAGTTTGCAAAAATGCAACAAAGTTTTGCATATGCAACCTTGAATCATTTGCTACTTTGCAATAACACTTGCACATAATTCTATTACCAAGAAAAATTACACAATTTTTATAACATAAGAAAAATAATCATCTGTGAAAGAAATTCTAATACAAATAATATTTCGTTCAGTGTATTAACATGTACATAAATAAGTATGTGGAAATATTTGTATGGTTAGATGTGTATGGCTGATATTGTTGTTGTTGTGTAGTGATAATGTCTAATATAAACTATAAAGATATGGAAAGTCACTACTTACCACAGCCGTTATCGAAAGACTAGGAATTGCAGTCGCAGCAGCTAAAGCAGAGGCAGAATTTTCATCTAAGCTACGTGATCCATGTAAAACATTTAAACTTTCCGGAGAGCACGTACTAGTCGAGGACGGAGGTGGCAACAGTTGGTGCGGTGTTGTTGTTGCATTTGTATTTGATAATGTTGCTGTTGTTATTGGGACACTACTATTGTTGTTGCTATTAGTATTATTGGTGGCTATTGGCGATGATGGTTTTGGACTGTTAAAAGGTTTCGAAATTGGGTTAAACGTTGCAGAAGTGGAGGTGAGGTTCATAGAGTTATTGGTATTTGTATTGGCTGTTGTTGTAGTTGTTGCATTTGTTGATAATTCCAGCAGCTTAAGTTGAGTAGCAGAGTCTATCTCTTGCTGCTTGATAGCAGCATACTTTTGCTCGTCTCGTCGTCTCTCTTGAGCAGCAGAGGCAGCGGCAGCAGCTTCAACTGCTGCTATCACGGCCATAGGATGGCGAGCTTGTAAGCCTAAAGCCAAGAAATGATTGTTGAAGTGTTCAATGTCACGACTAGAAATTTTACGCTCCTCCATTAGTTCCTCATCGATACTAAGGTTGCTGATGTTGTTGTTGTTATTATTGTTTGGCTCCGACAATGTTGTCTCTCTATTTGAATCGTTTTTCTGTACCTCTGCCTCGTCCGAGTCTCCCGACTCACCGTCCAATATGAAACGTATGGCATCGTATGCAAACCACATTGGCTGATAATTGAGCCCCTTGCGTCTGCCATTGAGTACTTTGCCATGTTCACGATGGAATGAGGAACGTAAACTTTTGATTTTCGAACGTATTGAACGTATTTCGGCACCATACTTTTGCCCCAACAACTTGAGGGCCTCGTATTTGGTTTGCTTAATGTGGTAGCCCTTGGTATTGGGATCCCAGAGAACACGTTGTCGCCGATAGTCTTCTATGAAATCCAGTATTGTGGCACGTGACCATTCAATACGATCTGTGGTCGTTGATGAACCTCCTCCTCCACTAGCATTGTTAGCTGTGCTGGACGAGGTAGTGCCATTGTTGTTGATGCTTATATTTAGGTTTGAGGTGCTGTTGTTGTTGTTATTATTGGTCAAACTGTTGCCTTTGTTATACATTGTTGCAGTGTTCATCATAATACTCTTCCCCCGCTTGCGACGCAGTTTTTGATCATGTGGCGACGACAGTTTGAAGCTGTCCTAGAGAGTCCAGATGAGAGGAATGTGTTGTTGTGGTGTTGGTACTGGGGAAGGGTGTGGGACCGAGGAAGGGGTACGACTAACTGAATGTAGTCCACGATATTGCTGTTATTGGTTTGGCTGTTTGTGGTATGTGATCATAAGAGCAACAGGTTATTTTTAAACAAGTGTTTTTCTTTTTTTGTCTTGTTGTGTTTTCCTTGTTCCTCCTTCACCTTCTTCTTCTTCGATTGCTTGTTTGCGACTACAACTAATATCAATGACAACAACACGATGCTACTACAACAACGTGGATGTATGTGTGTGTGTGTTTGGGCGTGCGTGTGTGTATGCTGGCCGTGTAATAAATATGTAGTGTTGTGTGTTTTTTTGTTGGAGTTCGATTTGGTTTTTGCCAAAAAATGTATTTTTGGTTGATCTTAACTGGTTTGGCGATCTTAGTGGTGCTGGTTGGTGGTGGTTACGTTTAGTGGTGTTGTATTACGGGTTTTGATTTTTTTGTTTCGTTTGTTTTTTTCTTTTTGGTTGTTGGAGAGATGTTGTTATTGGTTTTGCAGCAGCCGCAACTTGATTATTAAACACATTCGATCGCGAACATACATACCGTTGCGTCGTTCACCGTTGAAATCACGAAATGTACTAATTTCATATGTTTTTTTAACACACCGCCACCGTTGCTGCTGCCGCTGCTACTGCTGCTGCAGCCACAACTGGTACGACTGCGGTTGTTGTGGCTGGCTGGATTGCTGGCTGGCTGGTTGGCAAACTGGCAGTTTGGTCGTTGTTTTGTTATTTGGCTGGTTGACTGCTTGTTTGCTAGCTAGCTAGCTGCTGGCCTTAGTATGTGTGGCATGCTCCAACGTCATTGCCATTGTCGTCTCAGCAGTGGTTGTTGTTGTTGTTGTTAATGTGGATGTTGACGTTGTTGTTGTCGTTGTTATTTTTAAGTCGTCTCCAAAACAAGCAAATAATATACTCACAAAAAATCATACATACTAACTTTTTGTGTCGAGTTTTGTCGTTTGATTTGATTTCGTTTTTGCTGTTGCTACTGTTGATATTGTTGTTTTTACTCGCATTATATTTAGTTGTTGCTGTTATTGTTGTTGTGGTAGTACGTACGATTAGTCGTATGCAAGCAAAAGTATTTTGTTTATTTTGTTGCTACAATAAGTATTAAGTACTTTACTTTGGTTGCCTAACTGTTGTCATTATGACAAAGTGACTGTCTGTCTAACTGACGAATTGCCTCATTCAAGTGTGTTTGGTTAAGTAGTAGTGCTGCTGCGACTATTATTGCTATTACTGCCGCTTTCAGTTTCTGCTACTGCTGTTGTTGCTGTTATTATTATTGTCGAGTAGTTGCTCGTGCTTTATTTATTTTGAACTGTCGTTGAATTTCATGTTGTCGTTGTTGTTGTTACTTATATTTATTATTTAGCATTTCATACCTTATTTATTTTCTGTTTGTATTTTATTTTGTTTTTGCTTGAGTTTTTCCATGCTCATCTACAACGACAACAACGATTGCGGCAACAATAACAACCAGAAACAGTATGTACCTACCTACTATTTTGTTCAGTGTGATCGAATATATTAAATACTCTACACATTGAAAACACGGTAATGTGGACAATCAATATCGAACTATCAAATAACACGAAGGGCATTAGGGAAGTTACGGTAAGAATAATTACTTATTAATATGTATTGGTAAATTTGAATAACTTACTAAACGTTTATCTTAGGAATAGCAAAAGCAGTTCATAAAAAAAGAGTAATCAACTAATTTAGATTAAAAATAACAAAGTCTGTGACAAGTCTACCTATACCACCTCCAACACCTTTTTATGGAGAGTGGAATAAAAACTAAACAGAATAAATAATAAAAAATAGCAACAATGTGTGTTGTGTAGTGAGTTGGTGTCGTGTCGCATCGTCATCATCTATCCATTGTCGTCGTGACTGATCGTTGTTGCCGCCTCTGTCGTCGTCTTCGATTGTTGTCAAATAAACCGCAAACACAAAAAAACCTTTAGCAATTGTCGTGCTCTTATTTTCTTGTTTCTCTAACATGTGGTATGCTCCGTTTCGACACTCACCTTACCTCTCGTCTCGCGCCCTCATCAAATAAACAGTAAAATGTTTGTGTGCTTTTGGTGGTATCGCCATCACTGGAAATTGTAGTACAATATTCATGAGCAACAAAATAATAAATGGCAACAACAACAGCAACAATTGAATTTATGTAAAACGTACGAAAATGGAAAAAAAAGAAAGCTGTCGATTGCATTTACAGTCACATCTCTAACTAAAGACAAAATACTGTAACAATTGATGCAGATTGATCGATCAATTGTAAAAATTTAACAAATTACTCTTTCTAATATTGAGCAAAACACAAAATAAATAGTTGTAGAGTTGCCAGAAATCGAAAGGATTTTATCCTGAGGAATTAAAAAAAACTCGTTAGTTTAGTAATTATTTATTCATCTTCCTCTTCATATGTATACATATTTTATGTATATTCACAAAAATAAATACATATCTCTGCATCCACTTCGGACTATTTTGGTCATAAAACGATTTAGATCAGATGTTAACGTTCCCATTTAATATAATAGTTAACATAATATTTCTGGAATAAAAGGTAGGTATGAACCCAACTAGGTAGTTACGATATCACGTTGTAAAATTAAGAACAATGTCCGTTTCTGAACCAATTGAATGCTTAGTAGTGGAAAATAGTAACTAGAGAGATATAATCACGTTAACTGGAGGCACAACTAATCCAAAGTTTGACTAAAGTTTAGACTTTAGACTAGACTACAGACTAAACTATAGACTAGACTATAGACTAGACTATAGACTAGACTATAGACTAGACTATAGACTAGACTATAGACTAGACTATAGACTAGACTATAGACTAGACTATAGACTAGACTATAGACTAGACTATAGACTAGACTATAGACTAGACTATAGACTAGACTATAGACTAGACTATAGACTAGACTATAGACTAGACTATAGACTATAGAATAGACAATAGACTAGACTATAATCTAGACTATATACTAGACTATAGACTAGACTATAGACTAGACTATAGACTAGACTATAGACTAGACTAGACTATAGACTAGACTATAGACTAGACTATAGACTAGACTATAGACTAGACTATAGACTAGACTATAGACTAGACTATAGACTATACTATAGACTAGACTATAGACTAGACTATAGACTAGACTATAGACTAGACTATAGACTAGACTATAGACTAGACTAAAGACTAGACTATAGACTAGACCATAGATTAGACTATAGACTAAACTAAAACTAAACAAAAAAAAATTCAAACACCCTATTGAAAAACCCTTTACCTAAAGTCTTCCTCTATTATAAAGTGCACAAAATGCATTTAGTCATTCGTTTCCAATGCCAAGTTAATTTTACACTTTAAAGAAGTGTCGCTGTTTGTTTATTTATACCGATTCAAAGGTAGAAAAAGTAAAATGCAATTGTAAAAGACTAATAGAAAGCTTTAACGATATTTAAACAGTTTTCTACATTATTTAATTTTATTTAGTTTATTTGTTTATTTATTAACGCTTTCAGTGTTTGGTTCATTTATTTTCGTGTGTTGTATGAACGACGAAGTAGAGTTGCAAGCGACAGACAATAGAGTTTTATTTCGATTTCAACAGTTTTGTTAGTTTTACCTAATTAATGTTTACAATATTGGGGTTCCACAAGTTACAAATTTTTCTTATTACTTCGGCAAAGTCTCTTCCCCACCATCCGTTGCACTTGCTCACGAGTCGCGATTGTCATTCAGGTTATGTTGATACGGAAGAGTTTTATGATGCGGTTTTGTAGTTGTTCGTATTTGTGTGTATATGGAAGTGAGTAAATGCTTACTTACTAAATCGTATAGAAATACATACTTCCATAGATAGATTAGTAAATTTAAATCTAGTCAGTTGACTGTTGGTTATTTCAACTTATTTTTATACCCTATATGTTATGGTGTTGTTGTTTGTATTAAAGTATATCAAACGACTTAATACTTCTCGAACTCAGTTAACTACATATTTTGCTTGATCTTACACTAATGGTCCCCGAGAGTAAAATTAAATGTTAAATGTATTTATTTTTACTTCAAAAAAATGTATAGATCAGTGCTTATCTGAACATGGGTCCCATGTAAGGCCATTCTTCGGAAACCTATTTATTTATAGATCTGTCTAAAATTGGCCAACTTTCGAAAAATACATTATATTTATCGGCATGGAGTATCAAATAGTTGAGCTTAACATACATATTAGTTTATATTTACTAATAATATTGGGTAGCTTGTTGTTTCTCTTATCAGTTTGTACATACATATGCACAAACATATGTACGTATGTATGTATATTTAAGGTGCGTCAGGTTTATTTAATAAATACATACATATATATGTATGTATGTATATATTGCTCATATACTAACAGACTTTCATAATTCAGAAAACTTAATTTGAGAAAAACAGCTTTTAACTTTTATTGTCTATTTCTTAAATAACTTTTAACAGAAAATAACAGAGATTAATATATTTGTATATATGTATTATATTATATAATATATTTTTTATATACTTCTGTATTGTAAGCAGAGTTTTTATTGAAGTGAAGAATATTTGATTTACAAAATATTATAATACAAAATACTATTTGATACATAAGATTTGTTTAAACAAGCATAAGACAATTATTAAAAACATAACTTCAACACTTCCCCCTGTTTTAAATTATTTTTTAATGTTTAAATGATCAAGGGTATACTCGGTCATTTTTTCAATATCAATTCATAAAATTTCCATCCCAGGTACTGAATAGTAGAATAAAAACCTACTTATGAAGATCCATGCGTCTTGCATGGTTTCCAAATTTACAATTTGTTGAAATCTACAATTTAGGTAGTATGTTTTATGAGGATCCATACGAGGCTACAGCACCTTAGCAATTGAGCAAGTGTACTCATGTGACCAACCGTCTTGAGCTGAATATCGGATATATGGTTTTTAATGGCCGTAAACACTACAGAACTTGTCTATATCAAGTATAACCATCGTAGTTCCAGCTTTTGCCAAGGTATCAGCAATATTATTTCCAGTTATATACCTTGTCCTCTTACCCAAATAAGGCAATTATCATCTCGCCATCTTATTAACAGGTTAACTGCCAGTATAGATTCTGATATATTGGGTTTGTCCCGAGTAGGGCTTTTGAGCTTATAATTATGTTTAATATACTCGTATCTCGACAAAAAACGGCACAACCAAGTTTTATACTAGCCTTGAAGACCCTGTTGAATTTCGGGCCTCTTTTGACCCTTTGGCATCCCTAGTTACCATCTCACGAATAAAGAAATGTTTAATTGCAATGTGTTTTGTCCTCTTATGAAATTCAGGATTTTGAGACAAGCGAATTGCTGCAGTATTATCTATTTGAATACATGGTATTTGATTGAAGTTTATTATTTCTTTAAAATGCCTTGACAACCAAACTAGTTCCTTTGCAGCTTCGCTAGCAGCAACAATTTGAGCTTCTGTAGTGGATGTTGTTACCATTGCTTGTCTCTGACTTAACCATGATATCGCACCACCAGCATACGTCACCACAACACAACATCACCGTTGATCGACCAGTTCTAATACATCCGCCAAAATCAGCATCACTGAAGCATTCTAGTGACTTAGGTACTTTTTTATTATATAAATAACTAGCTATACCCAGTGTGCTTTGCTACCCTAAAAGGAATATGTATAAATAAATACCAGATTTATTATATGTTACATATAAAAGATGTCAAGCAAATTATTGCAAGTTCGCCAGTTTCTATCTATCGCCAATTTCTATCTATCTACAAAAAATTTGAATAATATAAGAGTTTCCAAGATGCACGAAATTTTGTATTTAATTCATATATGTGGTGCCAAGCCCCCCATTGAAAGTCCGCCCGTTATTCTCTAAATGTTCACATGAATGTCAAAGTTCTTCATGTAAAATTTTAAGATTCTAGCTCTAATAGTTTCTCAGATATACGAATTTAATTCATGTGGGGGCTTCAAGCCCCCCGGATGAAAGTCCGCCCTTTTTCCTCCAAAATATTCAGATGATTATTAAAATAATTTGTTCAAAATTTGAAGAATCTAGTTCTATTAGTTTCCCAGTTAAACGAAATTTTGTATTTAATTCATATGGGAGGTACCAAGTAACCCATTGGAAGTCCGCCCGTTATATTCTAAATGTTCAGGTGAATGTCAAAGTTCTTCAAGTAAAATTTAATGATTCTAGCTCTAATTGTTTCTCAGATATACGAATTTTTCTATTTTATTCATATGGGGGCTCCAAGCCCCCCAGATGAAAGTCCGCTCTTTTTTCCTTAAAAATGTTCAGATGAATATTAAAGTTCTTCGTGCAAAATTTTAAGAATTTAGTTCTATTAGTTTCCCAGATAAACGAATTTTTGGTTTTAATTAATATGGGAGGTGCCGCTCCCCTCATGGGTAGTCCGCCAATTTTTTACCCAAAATGTTTATATGGATGTTAAAGTTCTTTGTGCAAAATTTTAAGAATTTAGTTCTATTAGTTTCCCAGATAAACGAATTTTTGTATTTAATTAATATGGGAGGTGCCGCTCCCCTCATGGGTAGTCCGCCAATTTATTACCCAAAATGTTTATATGGATGTTAAAGTTCTTCGTGCTAAATTTTAAGAATTTAGTTCTATTAGTTTCCCAGATAAACGAATTTTTGTATTTAATTTATATGGGAGGTACCACGCCCCCTAATGCTAGTCCGCCTACTTTTTGTCCTAAATGATCATATTGACACTAAAGTGGCTCCGACAAAATTTGAGGACTCTAACTGTTATATTATCTAAAATATACGGATTTTATATTTTCTTAATGTGGGCGTGGCTCATCGCCCACTTGAAATTTCGAAATAAAAAGTAGCCTATTACCTATTCCAGACATGCAGGAATATGCTGTGAAAATTTCAAGAAAATCGGTTCAGCCGTTTAGTAGTCTATAACGTTCAAACATACAAACATACAAACAAACACACATTCATTTTTATATATATAGATGCCAACGTCTAAGGTACCAGCAATGTATCTAAATACTCGCTTTACACGTTGTACATCTTCCTTATTTGGATTCTCCAAAGTCCTTGACAAATAACCAACACTATATGCCAGGTCTGGCCTCGTTCCCAGCATAAGGTACATCAAAGCACCAACTGCTTCTTGTCTGAATGGAAATTCAACATTTTCTTTATCTTTTTCTTTGTTATTTGAACAAGTTATTTTCTCCATTGGTGTAGCAACAGGACGACATTCAGAAAAATTAAATTTACTTAATATTTACTTGGCATATGCTTTCCGATTTATCTTAATATATTCCTCCTTCATTTCTATTTCTAATCCAAGAAAATATGAAGAATCTTTGTGAACAATTTTGAATTCCTTTTGCATGAATTCATTTAATTCATTGATATTAGA